TTCTGAGCAAGGGAGAATTCCTGATTGTTTGTTCCACTGAAGCATTTATGAATCAAACATCTCTTGTGGAATTCTGCTGGGCTGGTGACTTCAGACCACTCATGTCCACCACATGCCAGAAACAAGTTTCTTACTCTCTTCCTGTGACTTATCTTCCTCATAGCCCAACCATGCTGCAATTTCTCCTTCTCACCTGATGCAGAGGGAAACTAAACAGCCTTTTTTCCTTTAGGCCCTGACACCCTTCCCATTTGCTGCAGGTCTCTGCTCTGGGGATGAGAAGTAAGACTATTTAGTCCTTCGATGGGCCTTGCCAGTTATTTGATCACACCAGTCCTTGCCTGACTAAGGGACAGATCTGCTTTTCAACATCAAGACCCTGTTGTCTGTTTCTTGTCCATTCCTTCTCTGCGCAACAGGGGAAGTAGTAGTGATAGGGACTCCACACAGCTGAGGGCATACCACTCTGGCCAGCAACAAAGTACTGGGAAGGAGTAAGAGACTAAAGGTTAAAAAAAGCTCACTATGATCCCAAAGAGCATTGGAAAAATGGTAGGGTACTCATGAGAACTCTGAGCTGATATTATGGAGGCAGGAAGTTCTAGGGAGCCCCCAGCTGTCAAGTCCTTATGAGAGGAGGAAGAGGCCACTGCTGAGTTCAGCTCTGAACTTCCTCCAAATATTGTGATCTATAATCTTGGTAAAGGGCATCTGAACTATGAATAGGTGGGCTTGGAGAGATTAGATTTTTAATCACTAAATGTCAATTTCACTATAGACACAAACTGATGATGATTATTATTAATAGAAATATTTTTCACCATCAAAATTTACAAATGGGCAAAGAAACAAAAAATGCAGCTTGAGAACTTAGTTTGATTTAAAAATATTTACTTTGTATATTTTGACATTTGATGTTGACACTGTGTTAATGGTTATAAAACTTTAATTTTCTGAATCTCAACATCTACTGTCATTAAATAATTGTGTGAACCGCTCCAGTTTCCGGCAATTGTGAAAATTTAAATAAATATTTTTAAATGCTTAAAAATAAATATCAATAGCAGTCAAAATGATGAAAAATAAAAATCAAATTTGGCAAGGCCTATGGATAGGCATTCAATGTGGGACAGAACTAAAACCCAGCCATAAAATGCTTAACATCAATACAAGAAAGCTCTGTAAGAAAAAAATAGTTAAGTGCTAAACACATTTCTAGTAAGATTATAAAAAAAATCAGAGGTGTAAAGGTGCAAATGACTGGCAAGGAGAATGGACTTCAGTTTTAAAATTTAGAGATTTTAGGACTAATTTAAAAAAAGGAGAATAAGAGGACACACAATGACAAGATTTGGCTATGGTCCACTAAAAGGGTAAACAGAGAGCCTGAAATAGGGAAGAATTGAGCAATAAAAAACCAGAACAAATTCCATCGTAAAGTATCAGACAATTAGTAATAATTTGTTGCAAAAAAAGTTAAATAGAAGGGAGGAGCTTACAAAACTTTTTATATAAATGTTGTTTTTCATAAAGTTTTAGAGAAAAAAATATTCCCATAATTTGTGCCTAAGTAACATATTATGCCAAGGACGGTGAAAAATTTTTAAATTAAGTACTGTTGTTCTTTAATCTTATGTTCAGGCCAGTTCTACACTAGCAAATTATGCTAGCATAACTACGTCACTCAGGGTACGTCTTCACTACCCGCCGTATCAGCGGGTAGCAATCGATTTATCCGGGATCAATATATCACGTCTTGTTAAGACGCGATATACTGATCCCCGAACGTGCTCACCATCGACTCCGGAACTCCACCAGAGCGAGCGGCAGTAGCGCAGTCGACAGGGGAGCCGCGGTCGTCAATCCCGCACCGTCTGGACCCCAGGTAATTCGATCCAAGATACTTCGACTTCAGCTACGCTATTCGCGTAGCTGAAGTTGCGTATCTTTGGGTACGTCTATACTTACCTCCGGCTTCAGCGGTAAGCAATCAATCTTCTGGGATCGATCCCGGAAGTGCTCGCCATCAACGCCCATACTCCTGCTCCGTAAGGAGTAGGCGGAGTCGACGGGGGAAGCCTGCCTGCCACGTGTGGACCTTTGGTAAGTACCTTTAAGTTCGAACTAAGGTACTTCGACTTCAGCTACGTTATTCATGTAGCTGAAGTTGCGTATTTAGTTCGAACTGGGGGATTAGTGTGGACCAGCCCTTGGACCGATTCTGCCCCCCCCAGTGTACACCAGCACTTAGCGATGTGAAAAATTCACACCTCTGAGCAGTGTAGTGATGTCAATTTAAATCCCCACGTAGACCGAAGAATTCTTCCCTCAACCTAGCTATAGCCTCTCAGAGGTGGATTATCTATGCTGATGAGAGAACCCCTCCCATCCGCATAGGTAGTGTCTACACCAGGGGTTCTCAAACTGGGGGTCGGGACCCCTCAGGAGGTTGTGAGGTTATGTGGGGGGGTCGCGAGCTCTCAGCCTCCACCCCAAACCCTGCTTTGCCTCCAGCATTTATAATGGTGTTAACAATATAAAAAAGTGTTTTTAATTTATAAGGGGGGGGGTCACACTCAGTGGCTTGCTATGTGAAAGGGGTCCCCAGTACAAAAGTTTGAGAATCACTGGTCTACACTGAAGTGGCACAGCTGTGCCACTGTAGCATTTTAAGTATAGACAAGCCCTCAGACACACTTCCCGGTCTCTTCAGTCTTCTTCTACTTGTTTCCTTTTGCAGGTGTGTGCCACCAATAAACCTTTCACACCCAGCTTTTAGTGTTAACTTTTCAGATCTCTATAACGGTGACCGATTTTCTTCAAACATTGCACACAAAGTTCACTTTTGGCCTGGCAAAATTGAAGAATCCTGGGTCAAAACTAAGTAGGGGTTTTGTTTGTTTTTTAAGGCAAGTAAATTAAAATTTGGATTTAGAAAGGATTAGAACAGGAAGTGTCATGTAGACTTAAAGGGACACTGTTTAGGACAAAAAACACGTTTGTAAAAATAAATTTTATAAAAAAAATCTAAAGTATTTCCACTTTTGATTGCAATTTCAACTAAAATACTTCTACAGCAAATAAACCCCCTTCTGCAAGTGCTTGAAAGCCAAACTGTAGAAAAGGAGAAACAATTTTCCATTGTCCAAACAAAGAAATGCAAAATGAAAATCCAACCGTATTAAACAGCGAAAGAGTTTTAGATGCTCACTAAAGCGAAGGCATTCCTTGTAAACAAACACTTGCTACGACATACACCCTTTAAGTTCACAGAATGCCCCCTAAAATGCAGAATCGCCGCCAAAGAAACCCGGTAATGTTTGAGCAGCAAATGAGTCATTTTCCCAGGCGGTCCTGCGAAGTCCTCGAGCGAAGGAAACACTGGACCCCGGTTTTATACCCGTTTCGTGCGGGGCCAGCAGCGCTCGCCGCTTGTTGTGAGCTCCCGGCCTGAGTTCCTCCTCGCGGAATCACCACTCGCTAGCTCCGCGTGTGGACTGGCCACAAGAGCAGCGCCAGCCGGTCCTGGCGGCCGCCTCCCGCCCCGCGACACACGGACGGGGGAAGGACCTGCGCGGCGGGGAGCGGGACCCAGGAGTCCCGGCACCTGCAGACCCTGCGGCGGGGGCACGAGGGACTGCGTGCAGAGTCGCCCCCCGCCCGCGGATACCCCGCCTCCGTACTCACACTGGCCATTCTCCCCGCGGGCGGTGGGGGTCACTTCTCGGCTGGGCCCCCGGCAGCGCCGCCTCCCGCTGGGAGCGGGGTGGGGAGCAGCCCCTACAGGACCCGGCCGCCGCGACCCGCTGCTCGGCGCTCGCCTCAGAACCAAGGCGGCTCCCGATTGGCTGCGGGTCAGACGCCTTCCCCCACCCCCGAGTGAGCGGCGGTTGTGTGTGTGGGGGGGGGTGGGGGGGGG